AATCCAAAAAATAGATTTAAGTTTATAGTTAGAATGTCTTAAGTGATTAAAATCAGTAGTTGGTATGAATGCATACAAACCAGTGCTCAAATAAGAGCAAATCTAGCGCTTCACACATTATGGTGAGGCTAAAGAGAAGGGGATCCTTTGGGGATGAGGTGAATTTTCTTGAGTTAAATTCAAGATATAGTTAACAGGGAACCATTTGCTATAGTATGGCTCGAAGCCATGAGGTGGATAGTTCCATCAAGAGGAAATAGCACTTTTCCGAAGTTTGGAATGAATTCCACTAGGTATGTTGCTGCTTCTCATCAATAAAATTTTGAGGCCATTAAAGCATTATGGTTAGGACTTATCAAGGGTAATTGGTTGACAATGAGCTTGTTGAATTGAGATAAAATATATGGTGATCTACTAGGGAATGAGGTAATGTATGTATAATTGAGATCTAGTGAAAATTGAATTGTGATGATTTAGACCTAATTGGGACAACCATACCAGAGAGAAAAATGCTAAGAACTTAAGAGTAGAAGGATTTTAAAGTTGCAAGTCACTGACATGTTTATATGTACTCAAATGGCCAGAAGAACGAATATGAAGATTTCGTAAGCATTGAAAGGAATGTTATGATATGGTATGTTAAGCTTGACTCGTGAAGAGGCAGAGAGTCTACAATTTCTTTCAACAGTTGTTCTACTAGAAAATTTTGGTTTTTTTAAACCTAAATCAAGCTTGATCTTTAGGAAGCTAGAATAGAAATACAAAATATGTGATCTACTAATTCAATTTCTCCCCTAAAGGTTTTTGTCGTACACCTAATTCACATGATAGATGATCCATTGTCGTATTCATGGGTTGATTTTAATAGGGAGGCCCTTTAGAGACTTGAGTATGAGATCCGAGAAGATCTTTAATAATGTTTTAGTTTTGGTTATCTAGATTAATTTCAAAATTATTAAGGCATCTGGACTGAAAGATCGACAAGCAAGGTGCAACTCTACATGGTCACTATACTCAAATCTAGTGTAGATAAACAAGAGTTTGCACTCCACTAGGTAACGAGGATTTGTTTACCCAGATCATAGTCTATTCGATGGAGCAAAACTAAGGGAAATAGGTTAAGTTCTATGAACCTTAGGCAGATTGTCCTTTGTAGGAATAAATTGAAAGGACATAAGCTACAATATTGATTTAGTGCTGTTTTCTCAGGCATTTTATTAATGAAGACCATATTTGATGTCTAGGGAGTTAAATCAAGATTCTCTATAAAAAATGTAAATTAAAAACATACACTTAAATAGAGAACTATAGGATGTCGATGTTGGTGTTGATTGTCTAAACCATACTCAGTTCATAAGGAGCTAAAATAGGATAAATGGTTAGACTTTATAGATTTAGAATGGGTGTACCTCGTTTTGAGACAAACCAAAAGTGGGTTTGGAATATGTTGGAAATCTAATGAGATGTGCTATAGTTTTTGTTACCTAGAACACATTCGACTTGTAGAGAACTAAAATGGGTTGCCTTTAAGCTTTATCAAGCAGTTGGGGGACAACAATTGTTGGCTTGGGTTGCCTAATCTATGCTCAATCTATAAGATGCTAAATTTGGAGGAGACACCACCCAGGTATAATACTTAAAGTACCACCCATTAATTTGGGGGATCAATAATGTACCTACAAAATCAAACGAAGAGATAGGCTCGCTATTTTATTATGCATACTCCATGATAATGGGATAGACTCCTTGCCTTTGAATGCTTACTCCATGATAAAGGAGCTTTTTGCGGTATGCTCAAACCCTTGGTGGTGTAGAGTGATAATATGTTGATGTCACATAAATATTAGGTCTTCCACTTTGAAGGTCCTCAATAAACCAATGGAGCATGAGTTTAGGTTATGTAGGTTTGGTAATGCTATAGATTGCGGCGCGCTTGAAGTTGAAACTCATTTAAGGCGTTGAGCTCTTCTAGTTGAAGCTGACCATTCTCTTCGTGGGTAGGCTAATGGTTAAGAGCCACACCTAATAGGTAACATCTACATATAGATAGATTCAAATTCATAAGCCATTGTACAAGGTGTTGAATATTTTAGCATGTTGGTAGTCCTTAACCCACAAGGATTATTTCAAGTTGTAATGCCATTCTCATTTGTTAATGGAAAATAGATTCTTAATAAGCCGCTTAAGTGTCTCGTTGAAGGCTTCTATTAGGTAAATTGCCCTAGGATAATAAATGAAGTACTGCCCATCAATATAGTGGTGACTTGCAAATCTTGCAATATGCCATTTTCTAAAATGATGACGCAACAAACAAAAGTGGCAGCCATTGTGATTTCGAAAGATATCCAGCATTATTGTTTGCATTAACTTCTCTATGTGTTATGGTTTCTATCCACTTCGACTAGTTAATAGCTATAATGATGAACTATGAACCTTGCAAGGAGTGTTAATAGGGCCAATAACATTTTTACCCTAGTATTAATTGAGAACTTTATTTTTGTTAGAGGTTGGTTACCCCATTAGTAAGACTCTATAAGATAGAAATGGACCTAATAGTTAAATTGACAAGTTATCCCAATATAGTGAAGATGAAGTCAATGGGATATGGTTTGGTGAGGGGAGAGATGATGGTGAGTTTATAGTGGTTGTGGTGTGCAATACATTTTGGCATGGTGCTTCCTAGTCTCCTAAATTGGACAAACCCCTTTATTGCCTTGGGGTGACACGTAGGACGATCATCGAGTGGTGGAATCAAATGATAGCTCTAGAGTGGCTGAGAGGAGCACAATTTAAGGAGAATGAAAGGAAAAGTTCATTTTTTACGTGTTGAATTGATGAACGTCAGTGATTTTTTTTATGTTATAGGCTTTTAACTGTGACATTTTATACTTGACATCACTGGGCAATAGTTAGGGGTCACAAGTCAACATTTTTTTGTTTTGGACAATAATATTAAGGTTAGAAACTTGAAATGGAGTGCTCATGTTATTAAATCCATACTAGTTTGTTAAGTTTAGCCTAGAGCCATGGATTGGGATTTAGAAGCTCAAGTTAGGCAAGAAAAGAAGCCAATGACAACTAATAGGCGACACTATAGGTTGCACTATGCACGAGGATTTCTTGAGTAATGCATCGTGCAAGAGGTTTTTCAAATTAAGAAAATCTTGTCCTTGATTGCCCATTTTATAGAAAATTGGCCACACATGCTAAACCCTAGGGATGAGTTACAGACCCCTCGATGCATACATTAGAGAAGAATCCTAAGCTATTTGGGTAGATGGCTTAGTGCCGACTAAAACTGGTTGGCGCCGATAAGGCATCACCGAGTGTTAAGGTGGGGATGCTCTAATGTGAGGTCTTGGTTGTAAAATTACTGAGAAGATGCTTGGGAATGCACCAAGAGGAGAGAACAAATTTGAGAAGGGAGACCTAATGAAATCAGACATTGAGAAGTTGCTAGTAAGAGGGACTTTTTAAGAGAAGGCCTCGAAAAGATTATTAGGATTCATAGGGATGAGATGATAACACAATCGAGGAAGCACCAAGAAGGAGAGATTTCTAGGGAGGTGGGGATGAGTATGTGAGGCTTTTCAAAATAAGAAAACACAAAGTCGCTGATAAGAGAGACTCTTTTGGAGAATGTGCTAATTTTGGAGGCCTCCTTGGAGAAAATGTTGAAAAGAAGAGAAGGGAAGACATTGAGAAGTCATTAGGAAGTGGAGAATTCTATGGACAAGGCATCAAGAAGTCATTGAGAAGGGAGACCTCACGTGGAAGGTTCCAAGAAGTCACCAAGAAGGGAGATTTCTTAGAAGAAAGCACTGAAAAACTTGTGAGAAGTTATTGAGAAGGGATACTTCTTGGGACAAGGTGTCGGGAAGTCACCAAAGAGGAAAACTTTTTTCGGGATAAGGCATCATGAAATTAGTGTTGGATGGCAAGTGCCAACATGCAACCACTGGTACTCAAAAGGTAGTTGCAAGGGTGGAGGATGGTAGAAAGATTGACAGGAGGGTATAAAGCGAGACAACGGTTCCAAGGCCAAGGTACACGACCTATATTGAGAGGGACTTGGATTTGCTCAACGAGCATGAGCACTGTGTGGCTGACTAGTCAATCCAAGAAGGGTTTTGGCTAATGATGATAAGCTTAATAATATTCTGCTAGGTCATTGTGATTTTAAGATTATGTAAGTTGGGTAAACTGTCAGGTTTTGGCCTTAAAATTGACCAATTAAACGTTAGATGAGATTTTGGGCCAACCATTCTTAAGCTAGTCTTTGGTCTATGGCTATGGGTATTCCTTTAGCCAACTAAGGGGCTAGGCCCGCTTACTAAAATGAAATGATGAAAAGGTTCTATAAAAAGATCAAGGGTGTGGTTGGGTTAGCTTTGGTGCTAGGGCGACTGAGCCAGGATCGGGGCTCTATGGTTTAGGTGGCTAATGGCAAGATTTAAATTGGATTGGAGGGTAAAAGGGGAGGTCAATAGCGCAATAAAAATAACTGTTTATGTTGTGAGTTGACATATGGGACGAGTCAAAATAATCTCAAGTAGCTAAATACTATGGGTGTTTTTACTGGTCAATGGAATTACTTGTTCATAATTGTTAACTATTGATTTTTTATCACTTTGCTTCACTTTGATTTCAAATTTGATGATTCCAGTAATTATCGTGATTCACTATTGCTAAATAGGGAATATGCGGATGGAATACTGCTGTTAATTAAGTTTCGATGTTAGCTTTTGCAGTATCTTTTTGAACAAGTCTTAGATTCTCAATGCAAGATAGTAACAGAAAAAATTTTCAAGACATTAACGGAAGAGTTTCCATTTTTGGCCTTAATGAAGTCATTGCCATGTTCGTCCGATATGCTTTTTCATTCCTATGGAAGGATCTTTCTGCTGAACAAAACTTTTGTTGGAATGATATTTTATTTATTATATATATTCTTTTCTTGACATTGAATTCCTAAAAACTGTTTTTATTGTACAAGCCAGAATTGAGGTCGTCTCATTACCGCAACTTTCACTCTCTTCTGGGGTTGCACTGTTCCCTCATCCTTCTAAGGTATATTTTATAACTCTTTTACTGCCTTTCTTAGCAATTTTAAGTATAAATTTTTCTAATATTTATTTGAGGGAATGATCATTACATATCATAGTCCTTTGGCATTAGAACTTTTGTTCAAAATATTGATAGGTATCAGTTATTTTTTAAAGCCTTTTAACGGCATATGAATGATCAACTTTTAGCAATCAACAACAAATTTAGGCTTTATTTTGGTAATGTTATGCTACATTTGTAACAAATAAAGTTGCCATTATTTCCACATAAATCAGCGTGCTGTTCTATGTTTTGAAGCCACAAGTAAAAAGGTAGGTTTTCGTTGCATGATTGGCAAGGATATCAGAATCATGAAATGCCATTATATTTTTTTTTTTGAAAGAAGAACAAATTCTTACTAGATGAAACCTTAAAAAGGATGTAAATTGTAATGTGGTTTCCTTTGCTCCAGCTGCAGCTTGCAATTTTTATGAAGTATGGATGTTTTTGATTACATGATTTGCATTAGTTTTTATACTTATTGGATCCTTCAATTTGTTATTTGCTTGACTTGTCACATTCTGTTCCATTTGTTATTTGCTTTTGTTATGTAATACGCGATCAAGCAATGCTCTGCCAGTGACTTGGCTGTGGATTTGTTTGTTTGCTGAGGGATTTGAAGGACCTTTTGGATTGGGCACGTGATCATTATTCTAATATTTTTTTTTATTATTTATGGGAACGTTATGTGATTTTAAATGTGGTTAGGCATGTTAAAGATAATATTTTTTGACTCCCTTGAAAGTAAATGATATTTTTAATTAAATGAATGTTGGTTGGATGTAATTCCTTATGTTCTTCTGAAGTTTTCTTTCTGCTTTTGACATGATGTGTGAGTGGATTCGGCCAAAACTTATAAATTTGAATTTTTTTGGTCTAGTATTTTGACTATTCTATGATTTTAAATTTTATGTGTCATTTCTATTGTAAGATTATTAAATTATCCTTTCTGTGAATTTTATTTATTTTTAATGTTGATATAAACCAGCAAATAGTTTTCTAACTTAAGAAGTTCATGAATGGAAATTTGTCTGATGTGTATAATTTTATGCACATCTTTGTAGATTTGCTTTAGATAATCCTAAATACTACAGCTTCCTATGTTAGATTCGATAGCAGACTCTATTATTGTTGCATCAACATGTTAGAGGTGGGACACAGTAATTTGGATAACCAGCAAAATAATAACAACGTGCAATTTCAAAAATATTGGATAAGCTATAGTTATGTATAACTGAGATTTAAATTTATTCTTACATTTGATGGTATGTATGACCCTATTGAATTTTCACTTAGAAGATTTCTTCAAATCTATAATATGCATAATTCTATAAAAATTGAATGTGATAAGTCAAATTAATGGGCATTTTTAATCATTAGCCGTTTACATTGACTAATAACATAATTAAAGAAGAATGCTATACATTTGATGATTATAACAAGAACAACAATAACTAGTCTTTATCCCACTAAGTGGGGTCGGCTACATGAATTCTTTTTTTTTCCATTATGTTCTATTGAATGTCATTTTTATTTAATTCTAATAAATTAAGATTATTTTTAATACAACATGGCCAAGCTTTTTAAGGTCTACATTTACCATTCTTACGATAGGTCAAATCTACAACATCTACTCTCCTAACACAGTCATCAGATGGTCCACTTTTAATGTGACGAAACCATTTAAGGGTGACCAAACCATTTAAGGCGCCTCTCTCTATTTTTATCTGCCATTGAAGCTACTCCAACCCTTTTAGGAAATGATCTTCAACTTCTTCTCGCGGCCAGAGTTGCAGACGCCGACCATCGCGAGCTTTGCATGCGACAGCTCACAAGCTTGGTCTGTTAGGCTGGAATTCAATCGTTCAAGTATGCGATTGAGGATACTCTTGTTTATTTGCCATCATTAAAGTCGTCGAGGGCATAAGCATCTCTTTTGGGATCAAGATGGGTGTGCAGTATAGGTAAATCCTTGATATCTCTCTTTCCAGTATCGCATGGAAGATGAACATGGGATAAGAGGATGAGTGTCTTATTTGAATAACTGTACATAATTTTGAGAGTTATGGCTTTTATTTGAGCTTTGGTGATGATTAGGTTAGAAATGAGATGTCGGAGTGTGTTTCAAACTTGAGTCTCTTAGTTTATACAGAAATCTCTCTACCAACTCCTCCACAAATCTTGCACGAGGATTATTCTAAGCTATATTGAATTGAGTTAGAAATTTATGAGAGGGATAAAGAGAAATTTCGTATGAAAATTATTCATGTAAAAACTAAAAATTAATGCTATATTATATGTATTATTTTATAAATTATTTTTTTCTTATGAATATGAATGAAACTACATGGACTTCGAGAAATTATTAGTCTTAAAAGAGTGATAAAATAATATTTCTAGGTTATATTTATAAGACAATCAAGAGTTTAAAATATTATATTTCAAAAATAAATCTAAATACTGACTATTTATTTTAATAATTTATAAATTAATAATTAATATTATTAGTATTAATAATTCAAAATAAATTGAGCTAACATATTTAAATCTTAAAACAAGTTATCAAACAGTTTCGCGGGATTTAAATGGATTTAACAAATCTAATACAAAAACAACAAGCCTTTATCCTAATAAGTGGGGTTGACTACACGAATCCTTTTTTTCCTATTATTTCCTATTTAGTGTCATATTTTTGTTTAATTTTAATAAATTAGATAATTTTTTTTACAACATACATAATTCTTTTTAGGTCTACCTTTATTAAAATAATGCAAATCTAAAACATCCACTCTTCTAACTTGATCATCATATGGTCGACGTTTAATGTGATCAAACCATCTAGGGTGATTCTCTTTAGTCTTGTCTGTCATTGGAGATACATCAACACTTTCATGGATATAGTCGTTTCGCATTTTCTATAAGTGTAATGTCACTCATCCACTTGAGCATTCTCATCTGGTCTAATCACCATCTTAAAAAATTGTTCAATAACGGTTTTTTTCTATCACACAATATACTCGATGCATTCCTCCACTTCAACCATCCAACTTGAATTCTATTAATAACATCCCCATCCTTACCACCATCATTTTGAATAATAGACCCGATATATCTAAACCATTCACTTCTTCTAATTATTTGATCGCCTATTATTACAACCTTGCCATTAGATCTACTATTGCTAAAATTACATTCAATGCATTCACTTTTAGACCTACTTAAATGAAAGTATTTAGACTCTAAAGTTGACCTCTACGATTTAAGCTTTTCCTTACCTCTCATTCTACTCATATTCACGAGGGTTATCATCAACGAAAGCATACCCTAAGGTACATCTCCTATAAATGTTCAATAAGAATATCCTTAACTAAAGCAAAAAGATATAGCTTAAAGCCGATTTCTCATGTAATTTAACTGAATTTGGAAAATACTAGTTCAATCCTCCTTGTATTTGAACACAACAACTCTAATATACATATCATTAATGACATGAAAATAAACAATATCAAATTCCTTTTTGGTAAAACTCTCCAAAATTCTTCTATTGAAACTTTATCATAAGTTTATTTAAAAAAACTTGAGCTTTGGTGATAACTAAGTTAAAAATTAGTTGTTATCGCCCGTTTTAAATTTGTGTCCAACTTCTCCACAAACTTTGCACATGACTATCATTCTAAGCTACATGGAATTAGGTCAGAATTTTATGACAGAGGGATAAAGAGCAATTTCAGGTAAAATTTATTTTATATAAAAGGTAAAAATTAATGCTATATTATATATTTTATTAAAAAATATTATTTTTTTATGAATATGAATGAACCTAGACTGAGAAATTATTAGTCTTAAAAAAGTGATCAAATAATATTTCTAAGTTATATTTATTATAAAATCAATACTTAAAGCATTATTTTTCCAAAATAACTATAAATAGTGATCAATATTTTTAATAATTAATAAATTAATAATTAATATTATTATAATATAAATAATTCAAAGTAAATTGAACTAACATAAATCTCGAAAAAGTTATCAAGCAGTTTCATAGGATTTAAACTGATTCAACAAATCCAATACAACAACAACAAGCTTTTATCCCACTAAATGGGTCGGCTATATGAATACTTTTTATCCATTGTCTCTTATTAAGTGTCATATTTTCATTTATTTCTATTAAATTAAGATCATTTTTTATATAATGTGCCCAAGCTTTAGGTCTACCTATGCCTTTCTTAACATAAGTCAAATCTTAAACATCTATTTTCTTAATTGGATTATGAGATGGTCAATGTTTAATGTGACCAAACCATCTAAGCCTACTCTTTCTAATCTTATCTGCTATTGGAATAATCCAACCCTTTTACAAATATATTCATTTCACATTTTGTCTTTAAATGTAAAGTCACTCATCCATCTAAAGATTCTCATCTCAACAAAACTTAATTTTATGCTTCTCTTTTACAAGCCAACATTTTGCACCATGAAGCTTTGCAGGTCTCACCATCATCTTATAAAATTATTCCTTATATGTGGTCCTTTTCTATCACAAAATAGACCCCTCTGCATTTCTCCACTCAACTATTCTAATAATATCCCTATTTATATCACCGCACTTTGAATGATAGAGCCAAATATCTAAAACGTTCACTCCTTTGAATGCCTTGATCACCAATTGTTATTACTCGTAATTAGATCTACTACTACTAAAATTATATTCCATGCATTCAATTTTAGATATACTCAAACGAATGCCTTTAGACCCTAAAGTTGACATTCTTAATTCAAGTTTTTTTTCTGAACTCTCTCTAGTCTTATCCACGAGAAGGATATCATCGGTGAAAAGCGTACACCAAGATACATCATCCTGTAAATATTTAGTAAGAACATTTGACTAAAGCAAAAAAATATGGGCTTAAAACCAATCTCTAATATAAGTCAATTAAAATAATAAAAAAAAAATACTTGGT